TCTGCCCTGCCCGCCCGCCCTGAGAGCACCTCCACCTCTTTGGGGGTACCGCTGCCGCGTTAGCACACGTGAACGACTGAAAAGCCAAAAGCTGAGGCCTGCTATTGCAGGGGGCCGTCCCTGTAACTGAAAACTTTTCTGCACACCTGCCTCCGATTCCTTCTGCCCGGGGCTCCCCGCGCTCGACCGGCTGCACTGTGGGGGAGTCAGAAACTGCTCTGGGCTGGCTGTGCAGCTGGGTCCCCCTTTCATCTGTCCCCGTAGTCCTGTTCCTCCTCCTCTCTGTGCACAGCGGGCCTGTGGCGTGTGCTCCCTGGAGGTATCCCCGGCGGTGCGGGCAGGGGCGTCTCGGCTGGGGGGGCACACAAGCTCCGGGGTGGGGGGCGGCCTGCCTGGCCTGCCACTGCTCTTTGGCTTTCACGCAGCACTGCCGCTAGTCCTGCGCGTAGCCCTGCTGTCCCTGAGCATCTGCTCACTCAGGACCATGTTTCTGTAGGTTGTGTGGAGACCTGCCCCGCCCCTTCTCCCCACAGGCCTGTGAGGTCCCAGACCTCGGGTCTACTCCAGGCAGGAGCACGTCTGGACTGGGGAGCCAGGATGGTGGGGGGCAGTTACAGAGAGCTGCTAGGGGTGCTCGTCTAGCCAGGCCACCGGGAAAAGAAATTTCAAACATTCATGAGGCTTTAAAAGGGCAGGGGAGCTTCGGGTCTATGTGACCCTTGGGCAGTGGAGTTCACAGCTGTGGCCAGGGCGGCCAGCACAGGGCATTGTGGGACAGCTGCTGGAGGACAGTTTAGGGTCAAAATAAGTAACACAGTACAATGTGGATGGCCCCGTCCCTACACTGCTCAGGGGGCTGGTGGCATGCACGTTGGTGTAATGGCTGGAAGATGAACGTAAGTGGAGACATCTGCATGGCTAGGTCAGCATAAGCTGCCTTGTCTTGCCCTAACTTGGCAGCGTAGGCCAAGCCTCTGAGTGTCTCAGCCAAACACAGGGCGGCAGGGATTGCTGGGCCCGTGTGCCTGCGACTTATGCAAAACAATCCACTGTGGCTCGCACTCAGCTGTGACCCTGGGAGTCTTCCCAGACCCCAGGATGCTCAAAAGCATCTCCCCCCGCCTTCCTCTTGCATTTCCTCCTCGGAGCACGGCCAGGTGAGACGAGCTGGGGCTGGAGTCCAGATCCCGCCACCCCCATCCCACTTGGCCCCACTTGGCGTTGGTGACGCC